TTTTTTTAGGTTTTTGGGGTATCTATGCAAACGTTTTTATTACTGTTCTTGGCTAATTGAGATGTTAAGAGTATAGAAAAAAACTTTTACCATTACTAGCTTACATGTACTACAACAACTTTCAGTTAACTTACCACAACTACCAGTAGTAGGCGTTGTTCCAGTTCTCGTAAATGGAAAATACCTTTGCTAATCCTACGTCCTTAGGCATCAAGTACACCACTATGCTGGCGTTACGAGTGTTGAGACTTGTGCAGCACATAAAGAGAATGGATTCTACAACAGGACAGCGCCGCAGCCTCAGGGTTTGTCTTTTTATGGCTCTGATCAATAACTGTAAGTGTGCGTCTCTGACTGCAGCGATACATTAGTCTGGGTGAGCTATACCACAGGCTGCCACCAGGTGTTGACAACAACAGGGCCGGTCACTGCGACTTAACTAGGTCAAAGAAGTAGTTCGCCAAACCTCGGAGGTTACACCCCCCCTTCCCTCCCCCCCAACAATCAGCCTTTGCCTCCAGAACATTTGTGTCAGCACCAGTGTTCTGCAGCCAGGCTGAAGCCAAAGTCTTATGATGGCTGAAAACTGAAGTCTAAGAGTTGAAGGTTACACAGTGTAGCCTGGGTTCAGTTCCCAGGGGAACCAAATTCTTGGCGCCTTCACGGAGCAGCCTGTTGCAGCAGATCTGCTGTCAACACCAAAAATTCCCCCTTAATAACGTTCAAATTATTATTTATTATTATTTCATATACAAGAGCATTAAGTCACTTTTTCCAAGAAACCAAGAAAATATTTTTAGCACGTAGCCTTACATGGAAGTGTGTATTTTTACACAGAGTAAATCAGATTTTCAAGAAGCCGAGCAGCCGGTATTGTATCCTTGAAAAACACACACTGTTTTATCAGGGCCACTTGGTAAAGGAACAAATTAGCATTCCAAAAATAATTCCTTCTATTCTTCATTAGCCGCTGTCAGCTCTGTTCACGGTCAGAATAAAAAAGGTCGCCGGGCGATGCTCGAGCTCCTCCTGCCTTTGTGTTCTGTGCTTCATTCATCTACAAACAGCAGCGACACCGATGATATGTTTGAAGACTCCGTCCTCTTATTTTTACAGCCGGCTTAAGTGAGGATGAAGGATGTGACAGTACTAACCCACAGAGCAGAACCACTAAGTCCTGACTGGTTCTGCATCTGTGTACATGAGATTTACCATGTTAATCCAAAAATGTAAATACACACAGAAATGCAGAGTTGGCTCAGGAACGCTGTGGGTTTTTAACTAACTGTAATTTCAAGTGAAAACAGATGGAGAAAACCAAGCCAACATAACTACAACTTAAAGCTAACTATGTTTAGCTATTAAAGCTAACCGCTAGCCAAAAACAATGTGTTTAACTTAATAATAGTAATGCCACTTTATTTATTTTTTTTATGCCACTTGTTTTTTTGGCACAAGTTTGTGGCGTTGCTCCTGAGTGGCCCTTCAGACGTATGCTAAGCTAACGTACAACTACTTAATTGATACATGGGTTGTGTTTACAAATGATCGGCTGTTATCGACTGCTGCTGCTGCTGCTTCTATGCTAATTGCTCTGAATGATTAAAACCCTGTCGAAGGCTAATACCACTGCCCCATCGACTCGGAGGTAACACACACACACACACACACATCCATACGACACGCGTCCGTGCTCACAGGGCTACGTTAGCAGCTCATTAAACCAGTCTCACTGTGAGACGCCTTTGCCCTTGTAGCAAAGTCAGATTTTGTGATAGAGATTAAGATCTGTACAGTGATTGGTCCACGTCCTCAGTATTACAGATCAGTGGGTTTAGTTTTCTGCAAGAAACACAATTTTCATTGTTGGAAAGAGGGAAAAAAAGATCAAGGTTGGTCAGAAATGGAATCAATGGAAACCGTTCCCATAATTAGATTTATTTGTAGTTATCACAGCAATATTAGTTTGGCAAAACTTTTAAACCTTAATGTCCTTCAAACCTGGGATTAACCACAAGGTGGAGCAGCTCCCAAACCTCCACCGTGGCAGCATGGACTCCTACAACTGTGATATTGTCACAACACAAATATTTTCTAAATCTTAATGTGTCAAAGTCTCAAGGGAAATCATACAGTACATATATACAAAGTATATTTAAAAAATAATAAATAATGTTATTATTATTGTTATGTATAATAATAAACATTAATAAATAATAAACATTATTTATAATGTTATTATAAATAATGTTACTATATTTAATTCATTCACATTTTTAGTATATTTTTAAAAAATATTTCATTGTATTCCAGCAGTTTACTGTATCAATACAGGTTTATTCCAGAGGAGGATCCTCTGTAGACTGTACAGTTAGCACAGCTACTCTACACGTACACTTTTACTCACTGATACATTAAGTATTTGAAGGTATGAAGTTGCAGGAAGATATTAACCAGAATATTGCACAGTAAATTAGAATATTAGAGAATGAAGGTTTTATTCCACATCTGAGCTGAAGAAGTGAGTTGTTCAGTTCACATCTTTTCCAGCTCAGTGAAGAACGACGTTCACTTCCTCTTCTTCAGCACTGCTTTTGAAAACAAGAGCGTTTTCCCCCCGAGCTGCGTTGATGACACAGGATGTTAACACGGTGCAGCTGTTCTCACGACGGTGACTGGAACAATGTGAAATCAAGACTCTTCACACTGCAGCTGTAATGAAGACCAGTGAATGTCAGTGCAAATTAAAAGTCTTTCCTCCCCCGGCCCTCCTGCCCCCCGTCTCCTCCACCCCTCATCTCTGTTAAGCGCTCTCTGTCCTTATCTTTACTGCGACTCATTGATGCCCCGTCCTTTCGTCCGTCCTCCTCCTCAGACACATCTCTACAGTCTCACAAAGATCCTGTTTAATAAGGCTTGGAGGTGTCACACGTTAGGAGCAGGAGTCAGAGCTGCAGCTGACGCCCAGTAGGGGGGGCTGCTGCTGCTGCTGCTGCTGCTGCTTCATGTCTCTGTTTCAGAGTGTAAACCCAGTGTCATCTCACCTCTACATCAGTGTTTGTGCAGAACAACACAGCAGGTTATTGGTTCACACCCGTTCACTTCCACAGCAGATGGTCTGCCTCCCTCTGACCTCTGACCTTGGTCTGGGCCTGGTGTCCAAACACCTGACGTTACCTCAACATGAACTCTCCGTCTCATCTGTACGTTTCTGCTCCAGTTCAGTCCCAGTCATTGATCTCATCTGAAGTGATCGATCACAGCAGCATGTTTTCACCACCTGTTGACACCAAAGACTTTCACTGATGTTTCTGTGATTTTTCTGTGATTTTTCTGTGATGTTTCTGTGATTGTTGTGAAGTGACGACAGTTTTTCTTTTGACTGTGTGGTTGTAAAGAACAGTCAGGTTTAAAACCGTCTGCTCTTTCTTGGAGAAACTCGACGGCGTTCTGTCTCCTATGGATTGTGTGAAACATCCCGCAGCTTAACGGCGTGTACAGCCTTTCTCTGGTCGCTGCTCTCTCCCACAGTCTTTGTCTGTGTGTGTGTGTGTGTGTGTGTATGCGCACACAGGAGAAGAGAAAATCCCATTTCAGCCGTGACGTTGTGCATGTGTAGCAGGAACGTATAGAGACTGTAGATCAAAGTGAGGCGGAGGAACAGAGAGGAGGAGGTTTTAATGACGACCACAGTCTAGAGTTGAAGCTCAGAGCTGAGGAGAGGAAGTTCACGTTGGTGTTTTCATTATTAGTCTGAACCTGATTTAATACAAACCTGTGTTAAATCAGTGAAGCCCAGTCTGTAACAGTCTTTTAGTTCATTATTGAACTGGAACTTCAAGTTGTCGTCCAGAAAAAAGTGATGAAAATTTTGCCAGATTTGTCTTTCAGATTTCACCTGAACTAATTTTATTAGTTAGTTTCCTTTAATATCTGAAGCCATTATTTTGGCTAACAATAAGCAAATTTGCTGTGTACCTAATATTTGACATAATTCAGTCAAACTTTTGTACTTTTTGAGGATCATTTTGGCCAAATGTGTGGTTATTATCTTTGAGCTGTTGTTGCATTTCATTCCATACTAGTAATTTGGTCAAATATTTGATATGTTTGGCAAACACTTGGGTATTTTGGCAAATGAAAAAAAAAATTTTTTTGGCTGTATTTTTTTTTTATGTTTGATTTCTAGTTAGTTTAGGACACATCAGGTTTTCTACAGTGATGAGTCCTGCTGTCTGACTATGGCAGGTATGTGTGTGTGTGAGTGATGTGTGGACTCATTCCTGTCTTTGTCCTGTCCTAGGGTCGACCTACAGCGTTCTGTCCACCATGCCCTCGGACTCTGAAAGCAGCAGCTCCCTCAGCAGTGTTGGTGCGTAAACACAAAGATACAAACTGAGGCACCAGATCAATACCAGGTGAAACTAAAGCTGGTTTGTGCTCTCTGTCACAGGCTCTCCTGTTAACGGTGAAGCATCCTCTCCACCCCCCGCCATCAACGACAACCGGTCGTCTGCCGACCACCTGGACACCGTCCTGTTCCAGCTCCGGCAGGTCACCAGAGAGAGGGATGAGCTTCGCAAGCGTCTGGCGTTGGCATCACCTGGGACCACCTTCGACGACTGCAGGTGTGAACACTGACTTTCCTGCCAAAATAATATTAAAAAAAACTTATTGGAAAAACAAACAAACTAACCAAAGTGACAGGAAGCTAGTTTTGCAGTAAACATAGCTAACTTTTATACAAGTTTACTTTTAGCTAGCTTTTGGTGATTAGCTTAGCTGTTTTAGCTGTTGTTTGGATTATGAGAACGCTTGTGTTTGCTATGTTTTAGCTAAATGTTTAGCTACTGGTGCAGCTCTAGTATCTGCTTCTGTGTTAGCATAAAATCTGAGCGCTGCTAATGTTTACGTTCACTTTTGTGTCAGAAACCAGGTTTCTTTACGTGCAGTTATTCCTGACGTTTAGTTTTTTTGTGCCCTGTTGTCCCATGAACTGTGATACGAGGGGAATGTCAGCCTTCAGTCCTGGTGTTGACCGTCAGGTCCAAGGCTGAGCAACTTCTGACTCCAGGCTGCTCTTCTCCTCTTCCTTTAAGGCCAAATTCCAAAGCCAGCCACGACTACGAGCGTCTGAAGAGTCAGTGCATGAGGGCCATGGCCGATCTGCAGTCGCTCCAGAACCAGCACACCAAAACACTGAAGAGGTGCGAGGAGGCAGCGAAGGAGGCCGACTTCTACCAGTGAGTCTTTGACCTGTTTTTGAACACAGGAGGTTCTGTTTTTCTGTGCCGGGAAACAGCAGGAGATCAGCAGCAGCAGGAGAACGAGGAGGAGGAAGAAGAGGAAGAAGAAGAGGAGTGGGGACAGATTTTCAGCTTCATTAGAAAAAAGGCTTAGAATATTTTTCTATTTTCTGGTCTATTTTGTGCCTGGAAACATTTTAAAAACCCAGGGAGACCAGAGCTGCTGACCTCCTGCTGCCTGGTTTTACAGAGTTAGTTTCACCCAGGTGAATATAAATATAAAATGTAAAATATTGAAATCACAGGAGTGAGATTTTAAGCAGACTAGACTTGACTGACTTGATGGACGACTTCTGTTTGCCATGGTGTAAAATTGCGGATATTTGAACTGGACTTTTTGTCATGACGATGTAGTTTTTATTTGTACTAAAGGTCGGACAACTGCAGTACAATCTGTAGTTCTCAAATATCATACAGAAAGTCTCTCTTTTCGCTCATCAAGCACTTTGTTTTTATACAGAGCAGCGGCAAAAGTGAGAGTTTGTTGATTTTTTTTTTTTTTCTCAGACCCAAAATGGTACCTGCTCAAAGTGTTAACCACAGTAGTTTGTCGCACATTATTTAGAGGCTTTAACCTCCAAATAGTCGACCTCATTCTCAGGCACGTTTTTGTTTCCGTTTTTCCAGCATGTTGCACAGTCGCATCCTGGGAGAACAGACGCAGCTGAAGGAAGAGCTGGAGACTCTGAGGAGGGACAACTCGCAGCTGGTCCGGGAGCAGAACCACCTGCAGCAGAACTGCGAGGAGCTGCAGCGGCTGCACACTCAGGACCAGAAGGAGTTGGTGGACCTGCGGCAGCAGCAGCAGCAGGTACGCCACCCAGACACACGCAGAAATCACACACTTCAGTTAGCTAGAACAGCAGCCACGCCGCACATCGTTTGGTTTTATCGTCTTTTATCGATGGATTCCTCCGTCAAACACTCGACGCTAAGAAAAACATTTTCCGTGGACGTGAAGAGACGCTGCTGCAGCTGCTGCAGTCGAGGAGCGGTTTACAGTTAAACACCTGCATCAGATCCCATCAGGGCAGGTGTATCTGGTGTATCAAAGTCTGGCTTTGGGACCAGTTGTCGTAGCTGTACAGGTTTATGTGGCCCAGAATGTCAGGAGGGAAATGTTTATGTGAACAGTTCACGTTGCCACAGTCGTCTGTGAAGCAGGGCTCATTTTACAGCTGCTAATATTTAGTTTTAATTTGGCTAAATTATTTTTGTAAACTGTTTTTATATATTTGTCTTATCTAACTAAGGCAAATGTTATAGTTTATTTCCATATTTTTATTACTAATGCCTCTGTGCCTTAGGGCAGGCACAGAGGCATTATCACCACGTCATGTTGTTAAAGCAGCATGTTGTCTGTTGGACTTCCTGCTTCTTTGTATTTGTCTTTTGAAGTGGACAGTTTTGTTTTCATCCCTGTTCATAACAACACAACATCGTCATCGCTCTCTTCAACATTTCTCACAGACTGAGGTGTACACCAGTGGGTACTCAAACCATGAGTTTGAACCACTGAGAACACACGTGTGTATGAAGTGTAAATGTGGTGGTGCTGCAGCAGAGTCTGTTCCGTCTCCGTGTCCAGGACCATGTTCCTCCGACACAGTGTGTGGTTCCGTCGCTCACAGCACTCTGGAGAATACAGCAGCGCTTTAAAAGCAGCTGAGCAGCAGGGGGCGTGCTCTTCACAATGTTTTCTGAAAAGGCCAAGCACTTAAAGGTCGGCGCTGTGACTGGGCTAAAGGGCACGCTGACCCAAACCACGTTAGCTTCAGGAACAGCCTGAGTTATATGTTTTGTTGTGCTGCGTCAGTGAGGTCACTGCAGCCCTGAGCCTCTCTCTCTCTCTCTCTCTCTCGCTCGCTCTCTCTCTCTCTCTCGACCCGGGAAGACTACATCAGCAAGACCTGATGCGCTGCGTCTCCCAGGGAATCCGTGGCGTTCCCTGAAGGCCAGTCTCCGTCTGTGGCTGTTTGTTCAGCAGCTTTGCTGTTAATTACATGGCCTTAAAGGCAGTTTAAAAATTCACTGACTCCAACGGAAGACAATGTTGTTTTTTTGGGGGGTGTTTTTTTTTTTTTTTTTTTGCATAAATCTGGCCCTGGATCTGCTTAGTCTGTAAAAAGAGAAAGGTGCTGACACTTTGATGCCATCTGCTGTCAATATGTGGCACAACAAAAACAGACGAAGGCCTCGTCGGCTGAGGGGGAATATTGATGAGATCTGAGGTCTATCACTGGAAACTGGGACTTCGTTCAGATTGTTCTGGCCTCTGATTATGTTGTTTTTCAAATGTGCCTCAGGACGGACGTTTGTCCTTCCTGTCTGAGAGCGCTGCCAGATAAATTGTGCTGTCCTCACCAGGTGATTAGAGAGAGGGGCTCGTCGGAGGTGCTGAACCAGCTCTACGACACGGCCATGGACAAACTGGAGGGGGTGAAGAAGGACTACGACACCCTGAGCAAGCGCTTCAGCGAGAAGGTGGCCAATCACAACACGGACCTGAGCCGCCTGGAGCAGGCCGAGGAGGAGAACCGCCGGCTGCAGAAACAAATGGACGCCCTGCTGAAGCAGCGAGACTCGGCCGTGCTCTACCAGCAGCAGTACTCCACGTCCGTGAGGAGGTGAGAGCCACGCTGTTTTTGTTGTGGATAAAAGTCAGGCTGCTTCACTTCCTGTAGACCTGGAAAACCTTACAAAGGGGACAGTGAAAAAATGTGAGTGTCAGGAAGTCATGAAGAAAACACTGCTGTTCACAGTGACATAAAAGCCTGGGTTGACTTTGAAACTTTGAAACTTTTAAACTTTTAAACTCAGATATAAATCATTTTACCTCACAGTCCACCCAGTCCTGACTAAATAAAGTCCAAGAACATTCTGGAGCGCTTGCTGCACCCCCCCAGGACAAGCATCTTTATTTTGAGAACACTTTTTTTGTCGTTATGCCAGACGGCAGATTGTGGCAGCGTCCCTGAGGAGTCGGCGTCCGATCCTCCTGGGCCTCGGCCTCCAGTCTTCTCCAAGTCTCACTTCAGATTTTCAAGTTAAATCTTTCACTAAGTACTCCTAGTATTGTTGGTTCTCAAACTACGGCATGCGGACCACAGGTGGTTTGGAGGCTCCCTCTAGTGGTTAGGCTGTATGTGTGTTTATTCGTGGTGTTAGGAACTGGTGTTAAAAAAAAGAAACCTTTATAAATATTTTTGTTTTAACGTTTAGTATCCCAGCAGACGGCATGACTTTTTCCTAGGACTTTTGCATCAGCGCTGGCAGAGACTGACAGAAGCCGTTAGTGAACAAAAACTGAACTTGTATTTTTATTATATTATTTAATTTTATCATGTTATCATTTTTGTTTCCTCAGGTTTGAGTCCGTGCAGCAGGAGCTGAACAAGTCTCTGTCCCAGAACAAGGAGCTGCAGCGGGAGATGGAGCGTCTCCAGGCGGAGGTCACGCGCTACAAGAACCTGCAGCTGAAATCCACCAAGGACTGCGAGAAGTACAAGGAGGAGCGGGACTCGGTGTTCAACGAGTACCGTCTGATCATGAGCGAACGGGACCAGGTGATCAAAGAGCTGGACAAGCTGCAGACGGAGCTGGAGGCGGCGGAGGCGCGACTGAAGAACAAGTCGTCTGAACGGGTGGTGGCGAGTGAGGAGCTGGAGGCTCTGAGACAGGTCGGATACTTTTTAAAGGTTCATCGGGGTTTTTTTAAATAATAATCACAATTAATTGCCTTCTTTAATCAAAAGCAATATTTGACACAAAAAATAATTTAAATAAACCTGTGTATTTTCCAACTGCCTACTACATTCACAAAAACAAACAAACTATAAATGCCTTACCGCCCTCTACAGGGCTGGAGTGTGTTTGCATCAGTGTCACAGATTTCCACTTTTCGTTCCGTGACAGGAGCTGAACTCGTCTCTGGTGGACCGGGACAGGGCCATCTGTGAGAGGAACGAGCTGCTGGAGAAGTACTGCCACGAGGTGAAGGACAAGGCCAAATCTTTCACTAAGTACTCCTAGTATTGTTGGTTCTCAAACTACGGCATGCGGACCACAGGTGGTTTGGAGGCTCCCTCTAGTGGTTAGGCTGTAGGTGTGTTTATTCATGGTGTTAGGAACTGGTGTTAAAAAAAAGAAACCTTTATAAATATTTTTGTTTTAACGTTTAGTATCCCAGCAGACGGCATGACTTTTTCCTAGGACTTTTGCATCAGCGCTGGCAGAGACTGACAGAAGCCGTTAGTGAACAAAAACTGAACTTGTATTTTTATTATATTATTTAATTTTATCATGTTATCATTTTTGTTTCCTCAGGTTTGAGTCCGTGCAGCAGGAGCTGAACAAGTCTCTGTCCCAGAACAAGGAGCTGCAGCGGGAGATGGAGCGTCTCCAGGCGGAGGTCACGCGCTACAAGAACCTGCAGCTGAAATCCACCAAGGACTGCGAGAAGTACAAGGAGGAGCGGGACTCGGTGTTCAACGAGTACCGTCTGATCATGAGCGAACGGGACCAGGTGATCAAAGAGCTGGACAAGCTGCAGACGGAGCTGGAGGCGGCGGAGGCGCGACTGAAGAACAAGTCGTCTGAACGGGTGGTGGCGAGTGAGGAGCTGGAGGCTCTGAGACAGGTCGGATACTTTTTAAAGGTTCATCGGGGTTTTTTTAAATAATAATCACAATTAATTGCCTTCTTTAATCAAAAGCAATATTTGACACAAAAAATAATTTAAATAAACCTGTGTATTTTCCAACTGCCTACTACATTCACAAAAACAAACAAACTATAAATGCCTTACCGCCCTCTACAGGGCTGGAGTGTGTTTGCATCAGTGTCACAGATTTCCACTTTTCGTTCCGTGACAGGAGCTGAACTCGTCTCTGGTGGACCGGGACAGGGCCATCTGTGAGAGGAACGAGCTGCTGGAGAAGTACTGCCACGAGGTGAAGGACAAGGCCGAGGCCCAGAAGGAGCTGAGTCAGGCCTGCAAGGACATCGAGATGGTCCGAGAGGAGAGGGACGTGGCCCGGAAAGAGAGGACGGAGGCCATCATTCAGCGAGATCAGCTGCTGCGGGAGTACTACCAAGCCAGACATGTAAAAAAAAAAACTACTGACACAAATGTTTGATTTTTTTAAATTTTAACTGCATATGAACTTTATACCAAGTCTTCACCCGACAACTGCCAGCATGTCAATCAAATTAGCCTATGATTGGCTCAAAAGTGTGTTTAGAAATTAGCCAATTAGCATTCCAGTATGAGTTAACAACTCATTGCAACATAGCAGTGACAACGGTTCAAGCCTAATGATGCAATAACTTTTATTCCAAGGACCTTGAATGCATCACTGGCTTCTCACTGGTTTATAGTTTCTCTTAGCTGAGTTAGCGTATCATGTCTAGAAAAGCTCTATTTGCAGCCTGTGACTCACCATGGCGAGTATCATGCACCTGTGAACCACTAGAGGGAGCCCTCCTAACATAAGTGGTTTGTGTTCCTTAGTTTGAGAGTTTTTATCAGACAAACTGTGCAGTGAAATAGTAGAACTGAAACTTTACTTTCAAATCTGAAAACAAACACAGGTGCACACATACACCCACCAAGCCAGAACATACCAGCTGTATTTAACATCTTAGTGTCACCTCATCTGAATCAGTTCTGCTGTGTACCACCAGAGGGAGCCAAAGTACCACCAGTGGTATGCGTACCAGGGTTTGAGAACCACTAACTTGTTTCACGTCACAGTCTGAATCCTGTGAACTGTGATGTCGACAGAAACAAGACTCGGCCACGTTGGACATGGAGCGAGCCAACAAGGAGATCGAGATGCTGAGGAAACAGTACGAGGCCATGTCGCAGGAGCTGAAGGAGGCCACGCAGGAGGCGGAGGTCGCCAAGTGTCGAAGGGACTGGGCTTTTCAGGAGAGGGACAAGATCGTGGCAGAGAGGGAGAGTATCAGGTCGGTATCTGAGCGCTGGCTCGGTGAGTCTTTGTTTAATATCACGACATATGTCACCCACGTTTGAGTCTCGCCCCCTACTGTTCACCATCAGGACTTTGTGTGATAACCTGCGGCGGGAAAGAGATCGGGCCGTCAGCGAGCTGGCCGACGCCCTGCGCAATCTGGACGACATGAGGAAGCAGAAGAACGACACGCTGAGGGAGCTGAAAGAATTAAAGTGAGTCTGGAGAAAACACAGATAAAAACAGAAGAGTGAAACAGACCAAGAAGAAGAAGAGTCACAAACGTGTCATTAAAAATACTGGGTGGTTCTTAAAGGGAGGCTGAGGACAACTCCGTCCACTCCGGCTTCCTGTGTCCTGGTGTCTTCAGTCGTCGTTGTCAGTCCAGGCCTGAGGTTCACACAGACTGAGCTCTGATAAAAGTGTCTTGTTGGACACAGAACAGCAGCAACAACAAAGTAACACTGCTAACTGTCTTTACTTTAGGTTTATTACCACCAGGGGACGCCAGAAATCCAACCTTAGTCTGGTAATGGTTCTTATTCTCAACTTAATCCCCGAAAAACACTTAAAGTCATGAAGACTTTAAAAAATGACTGCACTCTGTTCTTCTGCAAATGAACGTCTGAAAACTGCACTCCATGCGCCCTCTGCTGGTGGTGAGGCTATATGGTCACCTGTTTTTAACCAGAGCTCTGTGTGGACAGTGTGGTTGTTCTGCAGTGACTTTGAGAGTTTCACTGAAGAATGTAAAGATTTGGGTTTTAATGCCACAGCTCCCCCTGGAGGCCGACCTCACCTCAGCGTCCTCGTACATCTCCCTGACAGCAGGACATTGTGTGTGTTCTACTTTACCTTTACATATGTTTAAATATAAATGTGGTTCACTGAGCTGAACAATGGAAGGAGTGAGTTTCAGAGAAGTCAGTAGGACAGAAGTAAGAGTTGGAGAAGAAGTTTGTCAGTTGTTCACAAAACAGAAACAAACTCTGAATAATTAAACATCTTTTTTTCTCTGTTGCTTCATCTTTACTTAGGGAGAAGATGGAGAGTCAGCTGGAGAAGGAGGCCCGGTTCTGTCAGCTCATGGCCCACAGCTCCCACGACTCGGCCATCGACACTGACTCTCTGGAGTGGGAGACGGAGGTGGTGGAGTTTGAGAAGGACAGGGTGAGAGAGCGAGCAGAGAAGCTTGAGGTTTTATTTTAGATACCATTTGTTTTCCTGCTGTTTCTGCCCAATTTTTGATTTTACTCTTTGCTCAATTTTATTTATTTCTTTTGTTTCTATATGTTTTTGAAAACTTTTCTGTTCTTCTACAGTTGATGTAGTATTTGATAAATATTCTTCATTTTTATCCCATTTTTCATTTTAGTTGGTTTTTCTCACATTTGATTATTTGTATAATTTTTGGACTAATGTCAGTCTCTTCTATTTTTTTGTATAGTTTTTTGCCCACTTTTTCTATCTATGTATTTTAGTGTTATTTTTTTCTTATGTTAATGCAGTTGTGGTTTAGTAATGTTCAACTAAACCTTGATTCTGTGTCAACCGACGTTCTGTCTTTATTTGTGACGAATGCTGTCAACCTTTCCGAAGTCTAAATACTTCCTGACGTTCTGTCTTTATTTGTGACGAATGAACCAAAACAAATGAGCTCTAAATCGGCGGCGCGTCCTCTGACGTCTGAACGATTGTCGTGTCCTTCCAGGACGACATGGATTTAAAGGCCCTCGGCTTTGACATCACAGACGGGGTCAACGATCCGTATCTTCCCGGGGATTGTGGGATATTTGTTACCAGGGTGGACAAGGGAAGTGTTGCTGACGGGAGGTTGAGGTACGAGCTGCTCCGACGACACCCAGCTGTGTTCGCATCATTGACCGACGCTTCATTAAACCGTGTTGTTGTCCGTCCCCGACGGTTTACAGAGTGAACGATTGGTTGTTGAAGATTAACGACGTGGACCTGACCAATAAGGACAGGAAGCAGGTGGTGAAGGCCGTCCTGAACGGAGGAGGCTCCATCAACATGGTGGTGCGGAGGAGGAAGTCTCTGGGAGGACGGCTGCTGACGCCAGTCCACATCAGCCTGGTCGGACACAAAGGTCCAGACACAGAACATTCTAGATGTGTAATCATTCAAACAGAGACAAACTGTGACATTTATACAAATTTATTTTTACCTTTATTTCTAGAGAACGTCTTAGATGTGAAATAATTTATTTGTCTATTATTGTCTTTTATTCCATTATCAGATGATAGAAAAGAACACATCTGTCGGCCAATAATTAATCACCAAATTTTTGTTGTTTTTATCAAACTTTTCCCAGTCCTTTTTGCTTTATTTGACCTATTTTAGTTAGACCTTTGGCCTTTACCTTTAGCTGTTTCTGCTCCGACCATCAAGTCCCAAACTTTTCCTTGTTTTCTTACCTTTAGCTGTTTCTGCTCCGACCGTCAAGTCCCAAACTTTTCCTTGTTACCTTTAGCCTTTACCTTTAGCTGTTTCTGCTCTGACCGTCAAGTCCCAAACTTTTCCTTGTTTTCTCTGACTGATTCTTTGAAAATTAAATGGCTGTTTTTTTTGTTGTTGTTGTTTTTTGTTTGTTTTTCCCAGACAGTGGCATCGGTTTGGAGAACGGCGTGTTTGTCTCTGCCATCGTTCCTGGAAGTCCAGCAGCCAGAGAAGGTTCTCTCTCAGTTGGTGACAGACTCATTACTGTGAGTTTATTTCATAAATACATATATATACTACTGTAGTACTGTAGTACTGTAGTACTTAACCTCAGAGGTACTCACGTTGGCTGTTTAATCCAGACATTCTCCAGGATCCTGGCTGCAGCCTGTGATTTCACAGTGGGATTAAGTTTAGCATTTAAAGTAGGAGGAGCAGAGATTTATACAGTGGAAAAACTTCTCCTCTGACTCTGTGGATCTGTGGATCTGTGAGGTGAAGCTGACTTAGTCCAAAAATGGAACCAGTTAATCTGTCAGAGGAATTCTGCTCCTTCACGTCTGAAGTTTGAAACCTTTTAAATCCTGGAGTTGTTGGATGTTTCTGCTCCGATGGAAATCACAGACGACCAGTTGAATTTCATTTACACATGACAGATAAAAAAAACACTCCTGCTCTGCTTCTTGGATGGGAAGTTTTGTGGACAATAACGACCAACGACTGTTGTTTGTTTCCTCACAAATAAGAAAAAATATTGAATGTAGACTCACGTTGGTGAATCTGATATTTAAAAAAAAAAATTCACACTAATAGAAGCAGCAGTGAATCATCGACTTTTTGTCCATGGACTTTGGTGTGTGACGGTGAACCGCCTTCAGACGGAGACCTGTGATTGGTGGATAATTAGCAGCAGCAGTTTCAGATCATGCTGTAGCAGATCTTTATCGTGCAGCAGTATCGTGTTTTACCACGCTCCTGTAGATGTTAATCACTTCTGCGTCTCAGGTTGTTTTGAACTTATTGAACCTTTTAATCACAGTTAAAGGTGAAAAGAGTCATGAAACCTGAGGCTCCGACATCATTCAGAGTTAAAGTCACTGTGGAGGTTCTGGACCTGAGAGGAGTCGTCCACTTTGTGTTAGTAACTGTGATAAATATATATAACATATAAATAAATACCCCCTCCTTCTGCCCCCCCCAGATCAACGGCCTGGCCCTGGACACCAAGTCAGTGACAGAGTGTGAGTCTCTGTTGAGGAGCTGCAGAGATTCTCTCAGCCTGTCTCTCATGAAGGTACCAAATACCTGCTGACAAATGACGTTCATGTCCAGTATCGCCCCCTGCTGGTCATTTCTAATCCGCTGCTGGTTCTCAGTTCTTCCCTCACAGCACATCAGGACAGAACATCTTCGAGACTCTGCGCGACTCGTCGGAGAAGTCCAGCGGTCGTTTCCTGTCCGACCTTCAGTCCAGGAACAGCAGGAACCTCAAACACAACAGCTCCACGCAGACGGACATCTACTGCTCTGAGATCAGCAGCGTCTCCGGAGAGAGGAGGAGGATGAGAGGGGAATCCGACGAGGCGTACCCTCTCCTCGCCGCCGCCGGCCTCCGACCGGCGACCGACCTCGGCTCCGGACGCTACGGTCCCAGTGCTTTCCAGGAGTGCTGTCCTTACACCAAGGCGCCGTCTTCGTTACCGTTTGAACCCGTCTCGCCTTCGGACTGCATCACGGTGGAGACCACGCTGGAGAAGAAGCACAGTGGAGGCACGTGGCCCAAAATGATGGTGGGGTCCATGTCGGTGGCACCGGAGAGCATCGGCCCCATCACGTCAGTAGCCGCCGCCCAGCTGTCCATCTACAAGTCGCCCAAACAGAGGAAGTCCATCTTCGATCCCGACACCTTCAAACGCCCAGAGACGCCCTCCTCCAAGATGGAGTACATGGCAGCCAATCAGATTGCGGCGGTGGCTGCTGCTGCTGTAATCTCCCATTCCCCTCAACCTTCCAAAACCGAGTCTCTGTCCTCCTCCTCCACGCCGACGCCCACCCCCCCGACCCCTCCCACTCGCACAGACTCCTTCAAATTCAAACACAAACATCAGAGCAGCTCCGCCTCCGACTGCACCGTCACCTCGGACGGCAAAGGAGAAGTCGGGGGAGAGAGGGGCGAGCGGGAGAGAGACCGCAACGGGAACCACTACTTCACCGAGGCCAAAGTCCTGACCTCCAGGAAGTCATGTGACGAGGACATCGGCCGCACCCGAGGGGAGGAGCCTGAGGTGAAGAGACCACGCCCTAAATCTGCCCCCGCCCTCAGACGCAGGATGACGCCTCAGACCATCACGCTGCCCCTGTTGCAGGTGAGTCCAGTTAAAACGGTTGGGTCCAACCACTGGTTTGGGGGCCAACTGTGAGCCCCTGTTTTTGAAATGAATAATTCTTGTTTTATTTATTTTTTTGCTCTTTATTTCCTGACATTGATTCATCTTTTCATCAATGTTTTTACTCTTTGTGGATTTAATTTGTCCATTTTTGGCAGTTTATAAAAGTAGTAAAAAATAATTTTAGGCAGACAGGAAACTGTTCTTTGTTAAGACAAACATTTTGTTTATACATTTATTTATACATTTTATACATTTCTGTTTATTGAGGACGTACTTGACCTTGACCTTAAAAAAATTAATGTAAAGCTTTTTTGGTTTGACCAGCAATAAAACACTGAAGAACCAGTAAAATGACAAACACATCACAGATCGTAGCCAGTTTGATCCTTTGATTTATTGACATTCTATTTGATTAAAAATCTAAAACTCCTCCCTCTCCTCAGAGCTCATTCATATTCAGAGCAGTTTTAAACTCCCACTGGGCCAAGACGTCCATTTTGGTAATAGAAGAACGACTGGTGCCAGAGTTTGGACTCTGGTACAGGAGCTGAGTCAGTGAAGCTCTCACACACACACACACACACACACACACACACACACTCATCCGTCGCAGTACGACCTGAATGTTTATTTGACTTCAGATCCAGGATCTTCCTTCAGTCGTTCATGATTCCTGTCAGGATCCGTGGTGAACTTTTCTCCTCCTCCTCCTGCTGCAGTAACACTCTGTTTCTGTTTCTGTTTCTGTTTCTGTTTCTGTTTCTGTCTCTGTCTCTGCGTCTCCTCCCAGAGTTACTCCAGTGACGACCCCTCCTCAGAGCCCAGGGAGCTGCTGCGCTCCTCACCCAGCCGCTCCCACAGACACAGCCTGGGTTTCGTACCCACAGTCTATAATGGAACGCTGCCTCCAAGTCAGTTTCCCTCCATCATTAGAAACAACGATTATTTTTATTTTGACTTTTTATGAAACTGAAATAATTTTTTTTAGTTTGTTTTAGTGAACGTTTTGACTTTTTATTCTTTAGCTTTTGAACCAACGTTGAGTTTTTGGACAAAAATCTTTCCCAGATAATAAAATATGAAAAGACAGTTTTGCCTGAACTGAATATTTAAAACCATCTAAAACACGGTCGTGCGTCTGTATGTGCGTGTGTTTCAGACTCCGCCCACCGCGGACTCTCTCCGTGTCCTGCAGTGACGGCCGTGATGAGGAATCCTGTGTACACTGTGCGCAGCCACCGCGTTCACACCAGCAACTGTCCGTCTGTGGCGTCTCAGATCTGTCACCAGCACCAGCACCAGCACACCAGGTTCTCTTCACTCTAACGCCACCAAAACCAGACAGTTTTAACCCTTTAAAATCCAACCTTGACGTCAGCTTCACTCACTTCAATCAGCCTCAAAATATCTAAAAACTACAAAAATCAAAAGAAAAGCTAGAGACTTGTCCAAACAATTCCTTAAAATCTCTTATGTTCTCTGCTCCCACAGTGACTAAATACAGGAGTTCAAAGATGGATTGGATTAGTTTGTTGGTGACTCAGTAAAAAGTTCTTGAATGAATCAGTGTTTCCTGTTCTCTGCTCCCCCCCCCCCAGTCCACAGCACCAGGGTCACCTGAGTCTGGACCTGACTCAGCAGAAACGCAGCAACGACTTCCCAGAATCCTCGTCGTCTCGCAGCAGCAGAGCGTCACACGGTACAAACTCACTGCCCTCCAGCGCTCGCCTCGGTCAGTCTGACAGCCACGCACGCACTCAAACACGCCCCCACTCTGGTCCTACTGTCCCAGTTCTGGACCTGGGTTTTGGACTCGGTCTGGTCTCCATGTTTATGTCTCTGGTTTCCTCTGGTCGTCCATCAGGTTCCTCCACCAACGTCCAGTATCGAACGGAGAGGATCAAAATCCCCTCAACTCCTCGATATCCTCGCTCCATGCTGGGCTCAGACAGAGGTACTGGTCTGACTGGTCTGACTGGTCTGACTGGTCTGACTGGTCTGACTGGTCCAGTCACTCCTCACATCATAATTCACACCATAATAAGATGAGAACTGGTTGAAGGTCAAACTCTTCATTTTTCCTCCCGTCAGATTTGAATGATCAGTTTGTTTTTCCCAGGCTCCCTCTCACACTCGGAGTGCAGCAGTCCCAGCCTCATCACGCCCCCGCAGTCGCCCCTTAACCTGGAGACAACCTCATTCGTCAGCAGCCAATCACAAGGCTCCATTTCCACTTTACCTCGAATCTCTGTCAGCCCGGTGACGATAGGAGAGCGGAGGAAAGACAGGTATGAGGAAAGGCTTTATTTTACTGACGTTTCTTCTGCTTCTGGTTTTTTTTTTTTATTCTAACCTGGAGTTCGTCCTCACACCAAAGTCCATGGAGAAAACCAGCGTTTTTAGCTCCTGTTAGCAGAGCAGTGCAGCTCAGTGGCAGCCTCCGTCATTAGGTTTCTCTCTTTTGTAAATACAAATGAAGGATTTTTAAATTCCAAAGTCAAACAAATCAACTTTTAATTTTGCTGATGGAGACAGGAGAGAAATCAAAACCTTATTTTTATTATGATCTAAAATGGTTGTTTTTCTCTATGGACTTTGACACATGGGAATTTAAAATTTGAATTTTTTGCTAAAGATTTTTCAGCCAGCTATGTCTGGACGTCACATTGGTCACAATTCTTCATCTGAGTCATCATTCCTGAGTGAATGTGGGTCAGGTGGTTGTGGTCCACATGTGGCCCACGTCAGACGTAGGTCAGATCTGACTGTCGTCTCATTAAACCTCAGGTAAAATCTCTGGTTGATTTGAACTTCCACTGAGTTCCAGCGCCACCTTCCTGTTTTTTTGGAACTCCTCTGTGGGATTTTTTTTTTTTTTTAACTGATCACAGTCTCTGTATCACATCTGCCCTCTTTACCCCCCTGTTCTGTCTCTCTGTCTCTCTAACCCCCCCTCCCCCCCCGCCCTCAGGGCTCTTTACCGTAACCGCTCCTTTCTGAGGATTCCTCTGGCTGCTCGGCCGAGGTTCTCCTCCCTCAGGAGCCTCAGGTTTGTGTCTCCTCTCTGTGCGTCCGACAGCAGAATGCTCCTCAGATCCCGTGCTGCTCCTCACCCACTGCCACCTCAGCTGTTCATCTATGCTTCAGCCGAGGTGGAAAACAGACGCACAGTGTCGAGGACTGAAGGGAGACGGAGAATGTTTCGGTTAAATTTTAGTTTTTCCTTTTCCTGCATGGTAGCAGAAGTCGACCTGTAATATAAAATAAATAAGTATAGAAATATAGAAGTAGATGTGAATGGATTAGTCTCTCATGGATGTTTGATTATGAGATGATTTGATAAAAGTGACATTTCTATAAGTTGCAAAATATATTCAAAAATATATATATTGTTAAGATCCTTTTATTTATTTTTTTCTCTTGGTGTTTTTTATTTTTTTCATAATTTCCCCTAAATTTAACATTTTTATGACATGATTACTTTAATCTGAAAACTGACTTTATTTAATACGTTAGTTTTATTTTAGCAGTTATATATTGATGGCTTTAATCTCCCATATGTACGACTTAACATTCGTAAAACACATTTTTATGGGATTTAAATCTCATAATTAAAAAACAAATCCTGATGATGAAACTCTACATTCTTTAACCCTGGTGTTCGATTTGGTCTTTTTGAATTTTCTTCTCTGCTTTAAGCTTCACGTATTTTGTTGTTTTGCTAAGTTTTCTTTTGTCCAGCGTCAGCGTCTACAGGTCTGTCAGAAATCCTGCTGGAAGCATGTAGCTGTGTAGAGTAGAACCACGACCACACGCTCACGGCCCAGGTGCATGTGTCCACCTCAGTCCTTTAAACCTGGAGGACCTCCGTCACTCTTCTGTTTGTTCACCTGCCCCCCCACCTGCCCCCCCACCCTCCCCGGCTGCTGGTCGTCTTCACTCTAGGGTTGGGTACAGTTTACATCAGCAGCAAACCACAGGTGTTAAACATGTGGCCCGTGGGCCAAACCTGGCCCGTTAGGAGGTTTAATCTGGCCCACCTGACATCTAATCAGACTGTATGTGGTCCCTGAACCATAATGAGTTTGACCCCCCCGCCCTGTAGAATCAGAACAGATCAGTGAAGACCTCCGTCTCAAACGTCAGCTCCACTTTGTCCGACGTGAATCGATTCAGACTCCGTACCCAACCCTGTCATCATAGAATCTTCCTGAATGCTCTGCCTGAACTCCGCTTGCACTGACACAACCTTCATGATAGAGTTGGTTTTTTTAAAGCAATTGGATTTCATTTCTGCATCTGGTCTCCGGCCACAAGGTGGCGCTCCTAAGGTCCAGAGTGGATGTGTTGGTTACCACTGACTTCTCTTTTCGTTTCACCCACAGACCGTACTTAGAAGAACCTCGTAATGTGGTCGTACAAAAAGGAGCGGAGCCGCTGGGCATCTCCATCGTCGGCGGCGAGAACGGAGGAATCTTCGTGTCCAAGGTGACGGGAGGAAGCATCGCTCACCAGGCGGGGCTGGAGTACGGAGACCAGCTGCTGGAGGTGAGGTCAACAGTCTGAGGACACAGGGGTCAGAGGACAGGGGTCTGAGGACACAGGGGTCAGAGGACAGGGGTCACAAGGAACTCATTTTAGGAGAATCTGAGAACCAAAGTAAAGTCCTCTGGACTCAGATCTGGACTGAGGTCTGGACTGAGGTCTGGACTCAGGTCTGGACTCAGGTCTGGACTCAGGTCTGGACTCAGGTCTGGACTCAGGTCCTGTCCAGAGTTGGATTAGTCTTAGTTTCATTTCCTGTTTTGGAACGATGAAATTCTTGGATTTTAAAACCATTTTTTACTTTCATGAGTTTTTCGTAGTGAACTTATGGGATAAATGGACTTTTTGAAACCTTTTCTTCCCATTTCAGTTCAATGGCATCAACCTGAGGAACGCCACGGAGCAGCAGGCTCGGCTGATCATTGGCCAACAGTGTGACACCATCACTATCATGGCTCAGTACAACCCACACATGTACCAGCTGGGAAACCACTCCAGGTCCAGGTAACGGTGTCTCTGAGGGTCCAGTCTTCATGTCGGACTTTCAGACTTCCTCCAGTCGACTGAGAATCAAACGTTCTTTCTTCGTTTCTATCAACAGTTCCCGTCTGGAACCAGTCAGCACTCAGTCCACCTCCCAGACGAGCGGCGCCGTGACCTCCGACAACCACGCCAACATCGACACTCTGAGCGAACAGGACGAAGGTACGCTCACGCCCTCCTCCAAACAGACCACGCCCACCACCAGCCCCAGCAGCTTCATCAGGTGAGTCCGTCAATACAGGAGACAAATGTCCGTGAGACGTTCCCGACACTGAGGACCAACGTTCTTCCAGGATGTCGTCAGAGAGCAGCAGGAAGGTCGGCGACCCTCGGCTGGTGACGGTGCGGCGGCCTGGGGTGGAGGTGGGAGTCACGCTCTGTGGGGGGAACCTGCGAGGTGTCTACATCGAGGGTCTGGATGAGGACAGTCCTGCCAGAGGCCCAGATGGACTGCTGCCTGGAGACCTGATCTTAGAGGTGTGGACGCTGATGATGACGGTTCTGTCTTTGACCTCAGTATTTTATACAAACTACAAAGATTCTTCTCTTCCCTGTGTGCTGTGTATGTACCATGACAAGGAAGGTGAATCTTCCTCCCATGGTGCATCACTGCGCCTGTTTAGTTGAACACAACGCTGATGAACTTGAAGAAAGCCAAAACAGAGATATTTTTCAAAATTTTAAAGCAATTTTAGTTTTTTGTTGCCATTGCTGCCACCTAGTGGAAGAGTACTGAATTGTTCTGTTTAAGTCTCAAGTCCAAACCTCTTTAAAACCCAGCAGAACCAAAGTGTTTCTGCAGATTCCTGACTCCGTCATGGCTGTCGTTTGTCTCTGTCAGTTTGACATTGATTTCCTGCTCGTCTCCGTCCAATCTCGCTCCGCAGCAGCGTTTCATATCAGGAACGCCGCTAACGCAGAATAAACAATTCCTGGCACGCGTCCACCGAGGTTTAACCCGATATTTGAATTTCCACACGGCCTCAGAGCGTCCTTCAGCGTCTCACCCCGTTTGTCTTCTGTCTCCACACGAGGCAGCGATCGATGCCGTCACACTTTAATACAGCTGAGAGCTCAGTGGATCAGTGGATCCTGGCCCTGCCTCTGGTCGTTGGCATCAAGTCAAAGCCATGTTCATGTTGTTGTTGTTGGATCAAGTCCTGGTTTCTACGACCACATGTTTGATTGTTTTCATCGTACGTTTACCGTTAGCTATCGTCTTACAGCTACTTTTAGCTAACCTGGGCGAGTCCTCTGACTGTGCTGTTAGGATAATCTGTATTTTGGTTAATTTCTTTATATTTCTTATTGTTAGGCTAGTTCTTAAAGACTTGGTGATATTTTTGTATTTCTCTGCAAATGTTATTGTCATGAAGAGGTAGAATTTAATAGGCCAAACGTTTAAAGGCCTATTATTAGTAATAAATATTAAGAGGTTTCTCCTCCTCGTCTTTTCTTCCAGTACAACTGTGTGACTATGAAGAATAAAACAGCTGAGGAGGTCTACGTGGAGATGCTGAAGCCCGTGGAGGTCGTCACGTTGAAGGTGCAGCATCGACCGGACGACTTCATCCTCCTCAAGGACGCTCCAGGAGACGGCTTTTATATTAGGTAACACCACACACACACACACTCACACACACACACACACACACCACGCCGTCTGAACAGGAAGTGAAGCAGCTCAGACTCTCACTGCACCAACGTGACGGTTCAAACCAATCACCAAGGTCCAGGGTTCAATCCCAGGGGTCAGGGGTCAGGGGTCACAGGCGTATTTGTGCCAAAGCAGGAGTTGGAACATTCAAGGTTAGACAGAACTTAGGTTTGAAGGAGATCAAAAATACTGAGCTCCCTCTGATCACAGTCCGTCTCTGTTTCCTGTTGGATCCATTTCAGCCGCCTGTGTGTGTGTGTGTGTGTGTGTGTTTTCCAGGTCGTTACACACACACACACTGTACGTTGTGTATGAATGGAAACAGGAGGCACTAAAATAGTCAGGTTTTATTGTGGGCCGTCTGAGAGCGTGTTGCTGCAGCTGCCACAGTCACTTGTCATATCGGCGAGCGCTCGTGATGTCATGGACAGTAAATACACTCAGCCTGACGGCGCTGTCGCTCACCAGGTGACATATGAGGCTCCAGCAGGAGGCAGCAGAACGACACGCCGACACGATCAGAGCCGTCTTCACTTGTGTTTTATCTCTGGTCACTGCGGCGTCCCGTCCTCACCCCCGTCCTCACCCCCGTCCTCACCCCCGTCCTCACCCTCTTCTCCCTGTGCTGTCACAGACTGGACGACGCCGCTCTCCTCTCTGGACG